TTGCGTAGTCAATTCGGCTAAATAAAGTTTTCGCTGTAAAACAAATTATCCACAGGACATACAAATCCACGTTTGGAACGGGTCGTTTCTAATTTTTTTTTATTTTTTGCTTCAAGTATAAAAATAGTAAAAAAAAAAAAAACGTATAAAATATTCAGCGCGCCACTGGCCTATCGTATTTAATCAGGGCTACGATTTACAATATCCATTGGTGTTATTCATTTAATAAATAATAAGTACGTACCGGACTTTTACGATTCGCACTGTTTTTATTTGCATAATGAATACCCCGATTCATTCATATTTGTTTCACGCACTTATTTATGAACACATTTTATTTATTATTATTATTATTATCAAGCCGGCGAAATTTTATATAATAAATATATCGTTTGATTGTTTGAATAAGCCGATTCCAACTTCTAAACATTTTTTTTTATTATTATTATAGATTTATTTATCATTGGCATTTATTCAGCATTCTAGAGTATTGATGCTAGGCTAACGTGTTTTCGGCAGTAACTAGTAACATAATCTAATGAAAAAACGACAAACGTAATATACCTATATGGTATATACATATCATATTCCTTACACATTTTATTACCTAGTTGTAAATATTCACAATCTCGAGTATCGGAATAGAATCGCTACACTCTATAATGTGTTATAATATAACACGTTATATAACATAAATATATTTTTTTTGTGCCTGTAAAACACTCTTCTACAGGAAATCCAGCTCGAATCTAATATTTAGGAGGGATCTTTTACGTTGCATTTTAGATCTAGTTGGTGCATTGTTGAAGTTGGTTTTTGATCATGTGTACAGTTTTTTTTAAAAAATTAGGAAAAACCAAGTTTAAAGAAAAATGGACAAATTTACGGCGTAACGCGATTTCATTATTTTAAACTGTTTCGATTTTGTTTTTCTATCAGAAAATTCACACCAAATTTAAGTACATAGCATAGTTTCTAAAAGAAAATTGTATCTAGTTGGTGCGTAAGGAAGAAACCGATGTATTAGAAAAAGCCAATAAAAAATGTAGCAATAATCACGGGAAAGTTTGATAGTTGATAGTTTAATTATTTTTTTTGTTTTGTTTTTTTGTTTGTAATAAAAATAATCGAAGAGACTTAAATACTTATACCAGCTTTTTTCTAAAAGTGGTAAAAAGTTCAAAACTTTTGGAGATTTTTGAGCTATTTATAGGCATTTAAAATTTGCGAGCACTTATAGTTTAAATTTCGTCAAAATCGTAAAAATGTTAACATTTAAAAATATGTTAAACTGAACTTTACTATTGTTTTTCGTCAGCAATAATTTTTTAGGTACAATTAAATAACTTCATGTACCCTTCGTATTTTATTTTGTAAAACTAACAATATGTATTATAATGATATTTTTACTCTTACCAAATTTATATTGTCAGACCGAGAATTTAGGAGGTTCAGACTGAGGACCTAAATTAATTTATCAGAAATTTCGGGGTACCTCTACTATTTGTTTGAAATGGATGGAAGGTAGTGGGACGGGAAGGTAAATATTTTTAAATTTTTATTAAAGTTTGAATTTATAAAGAATAAATTACTACTTTACGCTGAACTTTTTTTTCAACACTAATTAAAACTCATGATAAATCTTTTGTTGAATTTTCGAGTATTTTCGCTTAGCCAAAACAATTTAATCACATAAAACTAATTAAAGTCCTAACTAATTCGAACACTTCAAATGGTTATAAATAACTGAGCAACGTCTGAAATGTTTCAAAACTTATATATAATAGAGTTTATTATATAAGTTTTAAGTGACATTTCCGACTTCTATAAGACTGTTTTTCACTGAACCACAACAAAAGAACAAAATCGAATATAACAGAAACCATTATTGTGGAAATATGGCAGTTTTCCCGACGAGTTTTCGTCATTATTACTTAGAATGCTAAAAGGAAAATAAAAAAAAAAAAAGAAAATTCCGACAATAACATCGACAAGACAAAATTGTCTGGTAGAAAAGCTGTTTACAAACCGATAAAATCACATAACACCTAGTATTATAGTAATCATCATAAAATAGAATCTAAAATAAATATGTATTATGTAAGCAAAACGTTGTCCTACATGTTTTTTATTTTTTCATAAATTGTTACTCGCTGAATTGCGTTTAAATTTTTTTGTACGGGGTCGGGTTGAGTTAATCGTATAACTCGACCCTCTGGTGCATAATTGCAAGGGACGCGAATTTCGTCTGTATTGTCCCTCTGTTCTTTTATTTTTCCAGTCCGAGTTGTTAGGCCCTTAGCGTTAGGAACACACTGCAGGTAATAAGGATAATTTATTATAATTATATTTCTCTGCCGTGTTTTTTTAAATATTTATAATGACGGCGAGTGAATTCGGACAACTGACGATAATCCAAAGTCTACAAATTCCGAAAATAAACGTATATTTACATTGCATTTATATTATAAATGTTTATAATAGGTTTATTAATTAACAATAAACATTTTGTATTAGATATTAACAATTTCATTCATTTAGCGCGTGATTCGCGCGTCGCATTGTTATCTGCCGGAGTTTATCAATGTGACTGTCTGTGTTCGTATTCGCCACTTGTGCTAATGCGTTTCTCTTATTGTGTATCAATATTTGTGAACACGAGATACAATAACAAGAAAAAAAAATAATAAAATAATAATAATAAAATTAAAAACTATCAAATAGCGTTAGTTATATTATCCAAATAGACAGCCGGTTGTATTATAATACATAAAACGATGAAAATATTATAATCGGGTTGAGAATGTTTTATTTTATTTTCAATACGGGCCGCGGTCCAAAGTACAGTAACAATTTAAAAATCAATATAACTCAAGTGAGCAGACAAGTCATGTATGCAAAACAATAATAATTAGAGTGAGAAAAAATACATTAGGACAACTTGTAAATCGAAAGACGGATCCTGGTTGGCAAGACGCATCCTATAGAGTGGGCGGTCACAGGAAAAATTAGTCGTACATTAAGGTAAAGAGAATGGATACGAAGAGCTGGTCTGGACTTAGGGTATTTTAAAGTTAACCATAAAATGTAACCCGGGGCAATAAATCGACCCATCAATAAGCTTGCGTGGCTTTCCACTTCAGACGAGTTAACTATGATAAGCTCTTTAACTTATCATAGTTAACTCGTCTTATAAGCTAAGGACTTACAGCTAACTAACCGACTTACTTTCAAAATTATAGCTTTTTGAAGTTCTGATATTATACATTGAGTTATGTTAAATAACTCAATATTGTTTACCGCAGTCCAGTGGTAGTACGTACCTGTAATCATTTCAGAGATTGCAAGTTCAAACTCGTATACCGAAAAATTGTTTTTGCAAAACTGCGTTGGGTGATGGGGTGATGGGGAAAAAACCAATGTATTTTGGATGCACCTAGAAACCTAATCTGTCGTAATATTCTATACAGTATGTTTCACTCAAACAGTAACACGAATTATTTCTGTCCAGTGACCTCGGATCGGGGAAATGGGGTTTTCAAGGTAAGATAGAAAATACTGAAATTTTTTCCGTACTTTCGAATTGCTTACTCTTTCAGTGTGCGCATGCACAATAAAACTTGTAATTTTTTAAACGAAACCACCTGTTTTCAATACTAGATTTGAATAAGCCATTTTTTTTTTTTTTTTTTAAAGCAACTTGCATAAATAAAATTTTCCCTTATCTTAAAAATTTGCCGAATTTTAGCTTGGTAATGATGAAACGAAATTATTTACCTAATTATATTATTCGATTAATAATATTTCAAAATATGTTACAAAAAATATTCATCAGTCATCATTATCTTATAAATCGTACGAAGTTTTATCTATTACGTTGTAAACATGCTTCTGGATGTCGTATGGCTTCATCTTGAGTCGCTACCGTAATTTGCTTGTCAGCTGTTAGTGTAGTGCGCCTGTTTCAGTGATATTTTGTTTTAAATACTGAAGATTAATCCATGGGTCAACGTAAACCACATTTGTTAAATGTCTACAAAGAAAAAAGCTGTCCTAGGAAAATGAAGACCGTCGGTGCCTCTGTTAAAGGTAATTCAATGTATTTTCTGTAAGCAAAGATTAACAATTGCTAACGAAAAAACGATTCTGAGCGGAGTACAGTGCTATTATAGTAAAATAATTACATATGCAATAAACGTTTTCTTTAATAATATTTGTTTAATATTGTACCTATTTTCCCGTTCTTCCGTTTTCCCTCCGTTTTTTCCCGGTCTTTCCGATATATCGAGAAAATCAAAAAAAACGAAAAAGCGCTACACTTATAAACCGGAGCATATTTCTGGTAGAAAAATTGTTCACAGATAAAAAAAAAAAAAAGAAGTAAACATTATAGTAAAACCGTAAACTTTTTCGCTCCACTCAGACATTTTAAATGCAGACGTTTTGTCTGAAATGGTTTTTGAAACATTAAACGTTCACATTACTCGAATAGATTACATATATTTGAAACATTTCTCAAAATAAACGGCAGTTTTCGGTTCATTTTTATTATTGTGGATTTCCGGGTTATCCCGGCGGTGACGAGGGGGAACGAGAAACGCTGTCGATAACTGCTCCGTTCAGAATCGCTTTTCGTTCGCATCGCGTACGGTAAACTGACTTACGCTGTCCCGCCGCGAACGGAATCGGCCGACACGCGGATTAGTATCGGACCTAAATGTTTGGGTTTTTATTTTATTTTTTTTCCCGCACTCTTATTTTTCCCCGTTTTCGAATCTACAAAAGGATTTCGCGTTCCGCGATTCGCGCGTTCTGCTGTCGCGTTCGTCCGAAAAACGGTCGTTAGTCACGCAGTCACCGACCTAATCAGGCCTAATCATTCGCAGTTCAAGACGCCGTGCAAGGCCGCGCGTCGAAAAAACGGCGCAGATCCCTACTACTCCGCGCTCGGTCGCAATCAGCGATCGGCCGCGCGTCGAAACGGCGTTTGCGGCCGCAATAGTTCTCGTATACCCGGTAGAAGTGACGGTAGGCAGTGCGTCGGTAACAGTCATTGTAATATTCGGACGCGGCGCGGTCATCGCGTCGACATCGCGCCGGCGATAAAACAACAGTGATTGAGAAAGGAAAACAAAAAACAAACCGATTCGCCGTCAACGACGCGCAATGACGGCCGCGCGCGTGACGCGGGCACTGCTGCTGACGGCGGCCGCGGCCGCGGCGGGGCCGCCGGACGCCTCCGTTTTCCGGTTCACCGTTCTGCACGCCAACGACATGCACGCCCGGTACGAGGAGACGTGCACGGACCGAACGTGTTTCGGCGGTTTCGCCCGGATGCGCGCCGCGGTGGACGCCGAGCGGGCCCGGGCGGCCGCGGCCGGCGCGCCCGCCGTGTTCCTGCACGCGGGCGACTTGTTCTTCGGCACGCCGTTTTACGACGCGCTCGGCTGGGAGCCGGCCGCCGATCTGTTCGGCGATCTGGGCGCGGACGCCATGGTACGCACGGTTTTCCCTATTGCGCGCCGCGATTAGTTAGTGTTTCAAATGTCGCGCCAACAACACGGTCTCGCGAAAGATCTCGACGAGATTGTTACGAGTCGCGTGCGTCAAAAATCGTTTGTCCAAAGAAATAACGGACAAATGTATTCGCCAACGTTCCGTATTGGATTCCGAGCGACGCGAGGAATCTATCGGTTTTCCGATGACGTTCGTTCGTTTTTGTTGGTTTTTTTTTTTTTTTTTTTTGTGTGTATACTGTGTACGACATTTATCTCGAAACACGGCACCGAGGCCTTTTTCCGTTGCATTTCGGTCTATAGTAGTCGGTACAATAGAAATGATCGTTTGTCGAAATTTCCATCGTATTTATTGTTTTTACTTTTCGTTGATTATAATCAATCAAGGTCGCGCCCGTCGACAACCGTTTCCCGCTCGGTTTTCGCGACTATTAGTACTCGTTATTGTTACTATTATTTTAATGTTTTTTTTTTTGTTTTTTTTAAACATCCACTGTAACGTTGTTGCGGGCGGAACGCACATTGTTGAAAAAGTAACGCTATTGACCGCTTCATAATCGTTTGTCGTTGCCGACGATTAAGCGTCGCGCGCAGGTACACAAACGAACGTTGAATTCCCACATCCGTGAATTACCGTTCCGGCTTCCGGCACTTACGACACTGGTGGCGCACTCGCGGTACGGAGTACGGCGTAGAACACGATCCCGTACGGTCCTCGCCGTCGAACGGAATCGCGCACATTTCAAGGCGCGCGTTTCCGTGCGTTCCGTCCCCGAGATTTCGGTGCAACGTTACCGGATTTCCATACGGTTACGCGGGTGTTCGACTATTCGACTTGGTTGCGGTGTTTCGCGCGGACAATTCCCGTCACTATTGTAGTCGACGGTAATAAATAGCGGACGGCAACGTTGCCCGGATAATCGTTAGTGATTACCGTTGTCTTTTTGGACGTTTCGACAGTCCGTTGTTTGAACGGAATCGCGTTCCCAAAAAGGTAAAACGTGCGGAAACGTGCTTTACCGGAACTACGTCCGTCCGTTCCGTTTTTTATTTTAAACTTTACCGTCGGGCGTGTCATAAAAAAAGAAACCGATAACTTTTTAACTAGGCGCAGTACGGTTACTGCCCGGATTTTAATCGGGTTACACGTTACGATAGCAATTCGAACCGCATGTACGATTAACGAATACAGTTTATATTAACGAGAAACGCGTGGAAACGGCGTTGTACCTGTTAATGTTTCCGTTAATTCGTTTTTTATGGGTACATTAAAATGTCAATTTTCGTTTCCACGGAACGTAATATTTTTATACGGTTTTTTTAGATTCGGAGCGTGTAGTGCGTGGTTTTACTGCGGTACATGTTTTTATGCATTTTTTATTTCCGTGTCCGCGAACAACGCTCCGAATGCGTAGAGTGTAGCGTTATTTCTGAACGCTGATTCTGTCCAGTCGGTGCGTTGCACGGATGATTTTTTTTTTTTTCGATTTTCTAAAAGTCAATTCGAAATAATCGGGAAGAACCCGAAAGTAAATAACAGGTGAAATGGCAAACATTTACGGCGCGCTCCTACCGTTTGCATTGTTTTTACTGTGTTCACGCGACGTTTTCTATTGGAAATATCGCTCCGATTGAGAAATGACAAGAGATCGATTTTGCCACTGTTCAAGTAGTTCGTTTTTCGACATCCAAACTGTAGTTTTTCTAACAATTGAGAAAACCGAAAAAAAGGGGAAACATACGTTTTTTTTTTTAAAATGACGGCACAACGATTTCGTTATTTTCAAATTAGTGCGGCTTATGTCTTCTACCATAAATATTGCTCTAATAGATAAACGACAAAAGACCTTTTTTGTTGCATTATTCATCTAGTTCATCGGTAAGTTATTCGCTTTTTGACAATCTCTGTAGTTTTATTAATTAAAATTATGAAAAACCGAAAAATACGTAGAAAGAACGGGAAAATTTACGAAAATGATCAGTACATTGGTATTATAGTACATTATGATATTGAGTTTTACAATATAAAATTATATCTAACGACATGTAAACATAAATATTGACATTAGATTAAAATATATATAAACTGATACAACAATCAACATAATCAATAGCGTCGGGAAAATACGATAATCAGCGATAAATTTATCATTGGTCGGAAATAACGGTGGGTTGTAAATATCATATGACAGAAAAAAATGATGATATTTTTTGTGTAAACAATTGTGGTATAAGAACAATCGTTATGAGTACACTAATAACTATTATTAAATATAGTAAATAAATATATAAGTAAAAAATAATTGAATGAATAAAAGCGTCGCCTGGAGTATTATGATAAGTGTATTACACGACCGGTTTCGAAATGAAAATTCATCATCAGGTATACCGCAGTCAAAATGTAAAACGCGGCTGAATATAAAAAAATGAATGAAAGAATACATAGAAAAAAAAAAATTATACAAATTGGTCGTTTCGCATATAAATAATTTATTTTAATGGGAGAGATTATTTCATACGGGTTATTCATATGTTATTGATGGGTTAATAAACATTTTATTTTAGTATTTACGGAAAACCTACACAAACCTATGCTATAATACCGCACGATTCTAATCACCTTTGTTCCTAAAAAATATCATTTTTTAATTCAATAGTCTATAGGCTTGAACGAATTCCATTAAATAAACATAATTATTAACACGAGCTCAATATTATCTATAATATAGCCCAGAGAAATAATTTCAATTTAAAAACTGTCAAAAAAATCCGAAAACGTATTAAAGAAAAAATAACACACAACTCGCCAAATAATGCTGTTAACTACTGTAGTATGAAATATCAAAATAATGTGTCTAACGCATTCGCTAAAATTCTGACCAATATTACAAATAAATGTAAAAATCGCTTTTAAAACTAATAATATTTTAATCAAACATATAAAAAATAGAAACTAAAAGCTTCACAAAAAATCACCATTCTTTTGACAATGTATACAATGAAATAAAGAAAAATAATTTTAATAATATTTCAAACGTACAAAACTATTTTAAAACTAATATCTTATATCATTACATTTTAGATAACAAATAACAACCAAATAATTTATATTTCTTAACATGTCTATTTTTTAATAATAACTCATTTTAAATAATCCCTCTTACTGAAATAAATTATTTCTATGTAAAACGACCAATTTGTGTAATTTTCTCTATGTATTCCTTCATTTAATTTTTTATATTCAGTCGCGTTTTACATTTTGACTGTGGATATACTCCAGGATACGCATTTATTCATTTATTTATTTTTTATTTTTATGTGTACATTTTTAGTTTATATATTTATTTACAAGTATTAACCATTTTAATAATTTTGTTTTGACTTTATTATTTTATTATTAACTCATTTTTTTTTTACATTTTTCGTGTTTGTAATCAAATTTTCTACCAGAAATATTGCTTTAATAAAAAAACACTACCACACTTCTTTGAATTTTTAATATAGTTAATGAGAAAGTAAGTAGTTTTTTGATTTGCCCTGTAGCGTTTTTAATAATTGAGAAAAACCGAAAAAACGTTGGAATAATTCGTACCAAAATAATGCTTTTATTTTTTCAATTTTGTTTTTCAATTCTGAGCGGAGAGAGGAATGTATTGATTTTACAATGTTGTTTGTTTTATTTTTTTGTATTTTTCTATTTGTGAATGTATCTATCTTTACATATGAACTTTAAACGCCAATTAAGCTAATTTTTATGCTATTAAAATGTTTAAAAATAAACATCTAAGTGGTGCTGAAAAATTTATAAACCAACAAAATCAATCGACCTCAAATTGAACGAAGATTACTGAATAAATCAGTCTCCTGTGAGTACCTAGGTACTAAATAATTTATAGTTCCCGGAAAAAATATTAGTTATTTAAGTAAATATTTAACATGGGTAATAAAATATATTTTTTATATTTTGAACGGATCGAGGAATGTATTGGTTTTACAATGATGTTTATTTATTTATTAATTTTTTTATGTAAACACTCTTTTTACAAGAAAGCTTACTCCGATTATCAAGTATAGCACCTTTTCTGAAAGGAAATGTTCTCTGGGTGGTACTTTAAATAGGTCATTTTTTTGAAATTCTTACTAATAATCGAGATAATGAGGAAAACCTTGTTCTTTAGATTAGAAAAGATTGAAAGATTAAAAATAAGTCTGAAATTGGCAATCATTTTTATTTATTTCCTGTTGTTAAGTTTATATAACTTTATTAAATCTTTTTCAAACAATCATTTTTATTATGGAAACGCATTGTCATTGCAACCATTTTACCATAATATAATATAATATTATATATTGTTGTAAAAGCAATACGTTCAACTGAACTCCACTCAGAATCGTTTTTTTGTTAGAAATGATTTATCGTTGCTTACAGATACACAGTAAATTCCCGTCTGTAACTTACCTTCCCAACTTCCCACATACAACAGTGGCTGCACCCACTTGTGATTTATGCCAGTCCTTTTTTATTGTAATTCAGTTATAATTATTCATAGAGACTTGACATTTTTTCAAAACACTTATATTTTATGTAATTTTTATTTGTAGTTATTCCGTGGGTAAAATTGTTAGACTAAACAGATATATTTGAAAACTGTACAGTAGGTGCATTATAAGTCATATGAGTGTAATGTAGTATCTTTTTTTTTTTTTATAAATCGTAAATATTACGGCTTTTCAAAACACGTATAACCGAACTTTTTAGGCACGGAATTATATATTAAAAATTCTTATGTATTTAAATTTTGTTTGTATCGCATAAAAGTTTCGGAAAATTGAGAATATTAAAACCTTTCAAACAAGCCTGTGAGTATAAACAATATATATTTTACGATCCGGTTATAAACCTTTTTACGGAATACTATAATTCTGTACACATTTTCAACTTTTTAACCATAATATCAAATAATTAGTTTACTTAACGCTACATCGAGTACTTTTTTACACAGAATACTTTATATACTTACCGTTTCGCCGTTCCTTATTTATATTTCTAACACACCGTTTCAAATAGGTATTCTATTTATGATGTCTATTGGTCATGATAAAATTACTAAGATGTTTATTTTTTATTTCATTGTTCTAGTCTGTAGACACGTTTTTTCTTAGTAAACTTGCTCCGATTTTTATGTGTAGCAACTTTACTGAAAGTCCAAATTGTATAGATGGTAAAAATTACAAGGTACCTTTCTTGTTGACTTTTTGAATTACTTTCTAATGGTATAATTTCCAGAACTTTTGAGCCGTTATTGAGCTTTTGAGGGGATTTTATTTTTTTGGAAGTTTTTTGTTGTTATTCGATTATAAATACACGTGGAAACTTTGAACTTTAATACTTACATTGGACTAACCTAGACGTGGTAAAATTTTCAAAATCATCGGATGACTTTTTTTTTTTTAAGAAGCGTTTGAAATCAAATTTAAACGAAAATCGTAAAAAAAATTACGGCACTTCAAATTATGTATTACTTAACCGCGCTCGGAATCGTCTTTCGTCAAGCAATGGTTTATCGTTGCTTATAGATATAAATGATATAACCTTATGCATCCTACCATCCCAACTTCTCACCTACAACAGTGCTCTCTCTCATCCCCAATATCAGCTCTTTTTTATTTTTACCCTACGCGTTTTTCGTTCATTATAATCAAATGTTGTGTACGATAAAAATAACATTATATGTTTGGAGAAAATTGACCGTTTGATCCGTTCGCTAACGAGTATTTTGCATATTAAAAGAAACTAATGATAGATAACTATAATGAATCTACTAATAATATTATTATAATCGTTTTATATTATTATTATTATTTAGTGTTTAGGAAATCACGAGTTCCATAACGGCCCAGCGGGTTTGGCGCCGTTTTTGAGCTCGAAAAATATTAGTTCTATACCGATAGTGGTGACGAATATCAATACCACAGGAGAACCTAGTCTGACCAACATCCGTCCGTCCACAGTTTTAACGGTCAACAATCGTACTATAGGGATAGTCGGTTACCTGACACCAGACGTACATGTAAACGAATTTTTATTTTTTTATAATCTATTACTGAATATATTATGACAAAGAACACATTTGGATAATTTTTGTAGATGTTGAACGACCCCGGACGTGTTATAGTGTCTGGAGAAGTAGACAGCGTACAAGCCGAGGTGTCGAAATTAAAAAAATCCGGAGTGGATTTCATAATAGCGCTCGGACATTCGGGTCTTGAAACTGACAAAAAAATAGCCAGAGAAGTAGCCGGTGTAGATGCGGTTGTCGGAGGACATTCGCATTCGTATTTGAGGACCGGTGAGTCTATTATATTATCTGAATAGGTATAGTTTTTAGCACCGTACTCGGTACGAATTTGAAAAATTTGTTTAAAAACGCAAACGAAATAGTGCATTATTCTGCACGCCCTGCGAAAAATGTTTGCCCACGCCTACGGTTGTCATTCTATAAGGTTCGATGATATACTCGTAAATATTTGGTCATTAGCCAGTCTTGTCCATTATCGATACATCGATACAATGTTTGTTATACCGCCTTACAATTAACTGTTGGAAATTATTTTTGTCTGTGCTAACGTCAGTTATAGTAGTTACACCGTGACGGCCACTGCAACCGTGTTTAAACGTACTTGCTGTTTTTCAATTTCAACTTTGGAACAATATCATTATGCACAATTACCAAACAATTAAAATTTTTAGTGAAGAAAATAAACAATTATATTGTATTACTAATGGATACAAATTAGCTTTCGAACAGTTTTCAAACGGTCATGTTCAGATGCGGTCGTGTTTAGAATGTGCACGTACACTGAAAAGTTATAATTTAACGTAATAATACCTACCTAATATACATTTTTTTAATCACGCCATTCATATGAACGGCAGACCTTGGTCTGTAAAAGTGGGATAGAAAATATTAATGTGCGTAGGTATGAATTACTATTAACGAAGTAGCAACTCAGACCTGTCGTGAGGAAATCGTGGACGCAACTCTAACAAAATATCATTTTCCGACGCAATTCGAATGCTCCGAAATAGCCATAGTTCGTTTTCATAATTATTGAAATCCGTCAAAAACAATTTTCTTACAATGTTTTTGGGCTTATAGGTCTAAACTCTAAATCGATTAAACTACATACGCCGTCACCAATCCAACTGAATACGCGAAATCATAAAATTCCAATGTCTTTTATATTAGTACCTATGCTTATTAATGATGACAATTAATTTTTGTGGACGTAACTCGAAATGATCACCGAAAAACCGGACGTGTTGTACAAAAACCGCCGCACACAATTCGGTTGACACGGCATACATTTTTTCATTTTTGGAACGCAATAGTTATTCGTACACAGCCGATTCTTTAGGTTCTTTATTGCGATATATTTCAAATGGAAGTTTTTTATTTTATCGGGAATCATAAACGAAACTGGTCGGGTTTTCGACCAATTTTCAAAAAAATACTGATTGCATTTTGCCTGGTACATATTGAGATAAAGTGAATTGAAAGTTAAACAAATAATTTCAACGGCTCCTATAGTAAAGAACACGTAAATAATTAATTTTAATAATCTACGCGGGCCAAAAAAAAAAAATTACGACGGCCAAAGTATAGGTAGGTAGTCCGAGTCCTTTTAAATGGCACCCCCGTGATGAACGTCCGTAATATTTTTATATTGCCAAATAGAATTAGAACCTTTATCTATAATATATTATCACGCCTGTATTTTACTATATACATACTAATGAATTGTACAAAACGAATATTATGTCTTTAAGGATACTATAATTACATCTCGAGGGATCAAAACGTTTACCACATCTAATGATTCGGCCACATTATTGTAATAAAAGGTTATCAACCCTATTATTATCCGGCCGCCCAGCGGTGGAGAGAATCACATTATTATGGTAGACCACCTGTTCTATATTATAATTCTACGCTATCTACCTGAACAGACAGTTGTTTTTTCAATACTACGTATAATATGACTTATAGATTCTTTTGTGGAACGAGGAATGTGTTGGTTACAATGATGTTTTTTTTTTTTTTTATGCGAACACTTTTTCTCCCAGAAAGCATACTCCGATTATCAAGTATAGCACCTTTTCCGAAAGAAAATATTCTCCGGGCGGTACTTTAAAAAAGTCATTTTTTGAAATTCTCATTAATATTCGAGATAGTGATGAAAACCTCGGTCTTTAGGTTATAAAAGGTTATTGAAAGATTAAAAATAATGTTGTCATCGGCAACCGTTTTTATTTATTTTTTGTCTTTATTACGTTTATATTGTTTAAATTGTTTTTAAACAATCATTATTATCATGGAAACGCACATATAGTTGTAATCGTTTTACCATAATATGACATATATATTGTTGAATAAGCAACATTCTCAATTCAACTCGGCTCAGAATCGTCTTTTCGTTTGCAACGGTTTATCGTTGCCTACGGATATACATTAAATTCCCGTCTATATCCTACCTTCCCAACTTCCCACCTACAACGGTGGTTGCACCCACGTGCGAAATATGTCAGTCCTTTTTTTTTTTTAACGTTTTAAATCAAAACCAAGAATCAGTCAATATCATATAATATAGAATATTATGACGTAAACTACGTATAAATATACCCGTTATACGTGTAGTTCAAAATACTTTAGACCGGGCATGCCAAACTATCAAGTGGGCCAAATATATTGAACAGTTTACTACGCGGGCCACCCGTTTAATGTATGCACATCTTTCAATTTTATACTCTACTAACACAACATGTACATTATAATTATTTGCAAGTATTTTGAATAATTTATCAAAGTTTATTTGAATTGAAAAAAAAAAAATATTTATGAAGTAGATATTATTTAAATTACAAAAAAAAATCATATTAATAATTATTTTTTGACGATATTTGACGATATACCTCACTAGTCCGTTCTTTATTAGAATACGCTCCAATAATTTGGAATCATAACAATGTAGGACATAATGATCAACTTGATAAAGTTCAAAATAAGGCCCTCAGATTTTTATGTCATACATGTAATATTCAACGAACTCCTCACTCTGGCTACGATAATATTTTAAAACTGTTAAACCTAAATTCTTTAAATGCACGGAGACACTTATCATACAGTACGTTCCTCACCAAATTACTAAATAATGAGATTGATGATTCATTTATATTAAGTCAATTAAATTTCAAAGTTAATAGCCACCACACTCGTANAAATAGTTAATTATTTTATTAAACATTGAAAGTATTTTTATTATTATTATTATTATTATTACTATTATTTGATATATTAATCTTTTAATTTTTTATTATGTTATATTTTATTATTTTAAATTATATAAATTTATAATTTATATAAGTTATATTTTATTGTTATCTATACAAATATATTGTGAATTGGACTTTTGTCCGTATTAATAAATAAATAAATATCTCTTTTCTGCCACCAAATTTCCTATTCCGGGAGAAACTTTATTGGACGAAGCCACTTTTAAAACTGAATTTAGAATACGTGTGTCGATTAATTTGGATATTACGGACGATTTATTGTTGTCCATTAATGAAAATAGTTGCTCACATTGATAGGTGCTAATAGTTATAGACAAAATTTTACACGGAAATCTACGAGTTTCTGCATAGATTTAATTAGAAGATAAGACAACATAATATAATGTATACCGAAAATATTCTAAGATGTTGTGACACGAAATTATTAGTTTATAATTTTTTTACTCCGTCCATTAATATTGGTAGTTGCGCGGGCCACAAAAAAAAAAAATAGCCATCGGCTGCGTGTGTGACATGCCTGCTTGTATTTATTTTTCCTGTCGCATATCGTGATATTTTCATAATTTTAGCCTTAAAAATATAAGAAAAAAAAAGAAAGTTTTTATTCGTAAAATACTATTTGCATTACCCGGCTTTGCCCGTCGACGCGACGTCGTTTCCGCATGCACTCCTGGTACTTGAGATTACTTTTTCACTTTCTAGCTCGTAAGCTAACTCACAGCTAAAACAGTTTATATATATATATAAACATTTTGTATTTTTTTTCCTTCTTTCATAATGCTCGACGATTTTATACAAGGCGTACCCATTCATACCTTATGTGACAATATGAAAATATAGAGAAAAAAACGCGTCTCCCCGCGGAAACAATAAAATTAAAAATCGTTTCTCCCGTACAACACGTACGATTCCGTAGTTTGCGGAATCATGAAGATTTTTAAAACAATTGATATCAATGGTTATCAATCAATACTGTATACATATGTTATACAAAATTGAAATCCGTCAAACACTACAGTTTTGTCTAGCTTTTAGGTCTGAATCGACTAAAATATACGCAGTCGCCAATATCATCATAACTACGATGTTTGCTTTTTTTTTATTTGGGCCTGTAAACAACTTGTCTGCAGTTAACTTTACTTTCACGAAATCTTTTCTGTTCATCAACTTCAGTGGTCGTTTCCTTAGATGTCCCGATAACCTTCTGTTGTTGAACAGTCAAAAACAAAAACGATTGCGTCGCGCAAGGACGAAAAACACGAGCACTTGTAATTTTGCAGTAAACAATTAACGAGATTTTTAATTTAAATCTAACAACAATTTACCGAAACCCGCATATTTTAGTCCTTGCGTACAGATAGACTTTACTATCCTGTATTATTGTATTTTATAATTTATTATATCCTACATTTCAGAATTTTTTTTTTTTGTCGACATTTTAGAACAATAAAACTCGCGTCGCTGACTTTGAAAATAATTTCTTCTTCAGTATTTACATTTAAACTCTTTAATAAAATATTTAAACTTCGGCACCTAAACTCACCAACGTTTCACATGAACTCCTGGTATATAGGCCCAAAGTTTTGCTATTGAAAATTCTGTTGGCCTTCCTCTGTCACTCACCCGACCATCTAACACGAAAACAGCTACTGCCGCAGTGACGTCAATCCATATGCGCTCCTGGTACTCAATATTATTCGTTCACTTGCTGGTGCAGCTAAATATTTTATTTTTATTTTTCTTCGTATAAAATGATGCCCGAAACTTTGATCAAAGACGTTGTTTCTTATGCGGCAATATGAAAATATCAAAAAGCCGTAATTTATACTATTATATTTTTTTTATATATATAAAGCGTTTGAACGAAATTATCTATTCAACGGAATAATTAAAAATCACGGTAGGCATTTCGTCTGTTAATGTCGATACGGTTTTATTTTCATTGTTCATCATTATTATTTTTGGTTTTAGTATAGAACAACCGTAGTGCAAATTTCAAACATTCTGACCTTTTATTATAAAGCCTATTCGACATATTTGAGGTGGATTCTGAGCGTAGCGAGGAATGCATTAGCGTAACTATATAATGTGTGTTATTCTTTCTTTTTCTCTTTTTTTTTCTGTTTGTTTACAACTTTTCTACCAAAAATATTGCTCTAATCAAAAAACGATAAGAGACCTTTTTCGATGCAATTAGGATTTAATTGAGTAATTGATTTGAAAAACCGGAAAAATGAATAGGGAAAACGGACAAATGTTTGCGGTGCCGCACTGACGTGGAGTCATTATTACGAATTTTTTCAATTTTAGTTTCCTACCAGAAATCTGGCTCTAAATTTCTTTCCAGAAAGACAATTTTGTCTAGTTAGTAAGCTTAACAGCGTTATTTATTTTTAATTTCTTAGACAGTTTTCGTGATAATTGTGAAAAACCGGAAAAAACGAAGGAAAACGGAAAAATGTAAAGCACAAATGAATTTATTATTTTCATTTATTTTTAATCGAATTCCAAAAAAAAAGACGGACGTACTTCGCACAATGAGTGAGCCACTGTTGTAGGTATTAAGAATGTAGGATATAAAGGGGAATTTAATATATAATACGTATAGTACGTGGCGATTAATCATTGCTAACGCAAAATGATTCTGAGTAGAATTTGGTTATACATGTATTAAAAGTCTGTAATATTTACGATTTTCGTCAAAATGTGTTCAAATTCTTATAAAAAAAAAATTCTACATTACACCCGATCATTATTTTTTGACCACAAAATACGCTCCATAATGAACCTTCTTTTAAATTTTCAAGAATTTCTGTTTGGTCTCACAGTTTTATCCACAGAGTACCTATACCCAGGGCCGAAGTGGCCTGCCTGGCAACCGAGAAAACTGTTTTATGAGTGGCCCGAAGTGTTCAAAATTAAAAGTTATTTTTTGGTATTTAAAAATAAATGTTTGATAATTAAATTATTTTTACAAAAAATAAAGAACTCAGATATCGATTTGTATTTATTTATAGTGGAGTCGTATACTATATTTCACGATATACCTATGTATATTCTTATAGAATTTCATAGGAAGAATTCCGATAGGTACCTACTGGTAAATATTTGTAATCAAATCTCATTTGTTTCTAAAATGTTTATTTCTAAAAGCATTTCTTCATCAATCGTACAATATTAAAATACTAGGTATTTACTATTTTGTTATATTATTATTATTTTATTTGGGTACTTTGTTTTAATTTTATAGTTTCAAAAGGGGCGAAAAACTAAGGAAAACCCAACTGGCACACTAGCTGCTGTAAACTAGGTATCTTTAGATTGTAAGCGTAAAGCAAAAAATGCAATTGTAAATTATCTATTGTAAAAATTGAACGAAATAGTATTTATTTTTAATTTTATGTTTAAATTCGTATAATATAGATTAAAACTTAAAATATTGGAAAATGTTTACATCATTGATAATGGCATATCTGAGGGGGGAGCGGCTTAGAAACGACCCATCCCACGGTCCATTTACCATTTAACACCATACTAATCCGTGTGAAAACCGATGTTATCGAGTAACACAGTTAATTTATTCCCCAGATAACATCGGTTTTCACACGGACTATTAAAACTGTTACTTAGAAACTATTCATCTGATATAAATGCGTGATACATTAAAATTTTCAATATAATTTCAATATAAATATTTGTATTCCTCATCCCTGTAACTAATGTAAATAATACAGAATTATTATCTTTATTATCTCCGAAAATATTCAAGGGACAGTCTGTATAGGATATATAATTATACAAATCTGTGTTTAGAGTGGATGGGTCCTAATTATTTTGTTTTGCTTTAATTATAAAAAATGTCCAGCACGTCACTGGTCTATATGACAACGAAATTTCAACGTCGTAAATTTGTCATTTTAGATTCTGAGTGGAGCGAGGAATTTATTGATTTTACAAAGACTTGTATTATTTATTTTATTTTTTTTTATGTGGACAACTTTTCTGAAAGGAAATATTCTCGGGGTGGTAATTTAGAGAGGTTATTTTTTGAAATTGTCATTAATATTCAAGATGACGAGGAAAACTTGGTTCTTTAAGATTGAAAGATTAAAAAATGGACGGACATAATTCGACGTGGGTATAGCTACTGTTATAGGTGGGTAGTTGGGAAGGTAGGCTACAGAAGGAAATTTAATGTATATTTATAAGAAACGACAAACCTTTGCTAACGAGAAAACGATTCTGATCTGAGTTCAGTTGATAATGTTGCTGTGTCAACAGTACGATATGTGGTATTGTCATATTATGGTAAAATGATTAAAACAATGTGCGTTTCCATACCACCAATGATTGTTTAAAAAAAAATTAAAATAAAAAAAACTTAATAATTACAAAAAAATAAATAAAAACGATTTGCAATTATAACCTTATTTTTAATTTTTCAATCTTTTTTAATCTAAAGACCGAGGTTTCGCCTTTCTAACTTCTTACCTACAAAAGTGACTGCACCTACGAACGAAATATGTCCGTCCTTTTTTCTTATACGTTTGTTTTTTCTGTCGGGGTTTCGTAGTTATTATGAAAACCGCATGAAAATCAAAAAAAATACCTCCTAGATCCAAAATTTAACAAAAAAGTTATTTTTTCCTACATTAATTGGAGCAAGATTTATAGTTGAAAAGTAGTTTACAAACAGTAAAAAAAATAAACTCATACAGTAAAACAAATACATTTTTCGCTTCCCTCGGAATCTGAAATTTTTAATTCAACAAAGTAATAGATCCACCCTGTTCTCTCTCTCCCCGTGAATATTATTGCTCTAAATGCCCATCCCTGAGCATATGCATCACCCGAGCTGGATATGTCATGTATAACGCAATCAACTTTTGTGAAGATAACAAACAACGCGAGTTCCTATGTTAGAAAAATACATTGTAATGTCATATCATAAATTAAATTTATATTTTTCACCTGATTAGAGTGATATAATTGGTATAAAATATACAACCATTTTCAAATATATTTAAACAATTCCAAATTCAAAATGTATAAAAAGACATTATTATACAAATAAAAAAGTGTAGTGCCTTTCAAGGTTCAAAGGTCAGGATTTAGGGTTGCGAAATGTTTTAAATGTTTAAAAATTAAATTAAAATAATTATAATATCAAGAAGTAAATTATTTATTTATATTATCTGTTAATGATCTAAAGAGTGAAGATATTTATATGGTTCCAATTTATTTTTAGAATATAAAAAAAAAAATAAAACAGCTCCTATTAAGTACTTCAAAATTAACGAGTAACATTTTTTTCAATTGTTTTTTTTGTTCTGAAATAATTCGATAAAATTGAATTTATAATTTACTATTATTATGACATGATATTTACAACAATTATTGTTTAAAATAAAAAAAATACTGGTTTTTACTATTTTTTTTTTTTTTGTTTTTTCAACGTTTAATTATTTCTATAGGACCGCCACAAGATATGGAAATTCCGGCTGGACCATACCCGGTGATTGAGAAATTAAGCGGCAATTTCTTCGTGCCCGTGGTTCAAGCGTATGCGTTTACTAAATATTTAGGAAAGTTGGTTTTGACGTTCAATAGCGAAAATGTTTTGATTAGCGCCGAAGGTGGGCCGATTTTCTTGAACAGTACTGATCAAGGTAAATAATGTTATATTAAATGCATGATGATTTAATGTACTCTAAATTTCTTTTCTTTTTTTTTTTTCAATTTGATAATTATTTTTAACGAACGGTTTTTAGATGCGAAAATAATGGACAAAGTAAAATACTATAGAAAACTGTTGGACCAAAAAGAAGTGAGAATTGCCATTGGAAAGACATATGTATTTTTAGATGGCAAGTGTAGTTGCCGGGAGACCAACCTAGGCGATTTGATCACCGATTCGTTTATTCGCGCGGTAAATATAATATATTCATATACTCGTATATTCATCTTATACACTTGTGTATAAGGTGCGAAGAATTTTTTTTTATAATCTAAATTTTAAGTCAACGCATTTTGAGAGTTATATGAACACTCTATATACATGTATACCCTGTATAGCATGGACTTCAAGGATTGATTCACTTTTTTTCCAGCGTTAAATTATTTCAACAGTGACTTAAAAAAAAAACAAAAATGTGTTAAATTATTTTTTCTTTATGAATAATATTGTTCGAATATTTTTCAATCGTTATTAATTTTACATCGAATTTTCATGGAATTTTCTCACGTTTAAACCGCGTGTTAATCATAAGCAAAAAAAATAATACGACTTGATTATTTATAAACGATTGCATTGTCTGGTGCATATAGAGTTCGGATTTATAGGCCATAAAAAAAAAAAAAAAAATACGCATAAGGAAAAAAAAAATGTAAATTATATATATTTAGATACCATTTATAATAGGTATTCTGAATATGCACCAAATTATTACGCTCAATTATTTACAATATTATTGATGTTTCATTTCCATAAAATAAATTATAGAAATGAAAAACTCCTACATGTTGCTATTCTGTACACCTCAAACGTCCCACCTATATTATATTATTCTCCTGTGCGGAGAAATTCCGACTATTTTGAGTGGCAGTATCCGAGTTCCGTCCCAAATATAAAATTTGAATTTAAGGATATACTAGTTCCGTCCCGTGTAATTTATTAAATCACACGAGTTCCGTCCCGTTTTACATTTTCTACACTATATTATAATATATTGTGCAATTCACGACTACGGTAACAATTTTATATTGTTTAAAAATGAAAATGATATTACTTTCAGTTATCACACTAAATAATCGAATTTGTATACATTAATACTTTAATATTATTGAAATGTTTGCCGTATTTTAATATGAATAAGAAAAATGTCTCTATAAATTGTTATTTTTCTATATCGTTAAAATTTTAACCCAATAAAAAATTTGTATTTATGAAAGTATATACTACGTATGAATTTGTTGTAATTAACATTGAAAAGAACATCATAATCGGGACGGAATCGGTTTATACGCTGTTTTTAATCGGGACGAAATCTGTATATATATATATATATATATATGTATACCCTTTTTTTCACCCCGGACGGAATAGTTTTAAAAAAAAGGCTATTGGGACAGAACTCGGATTGAGCCTTTTGTGTTTCTATTTGTAAAATCGACATTACAATAATACATTTTCGACGACGGTACATCGGTGATGTTTAAACCAATGAAGTTCCCACACAGAGTTTACACAATTAACACATTATAATATTATGGTGATCACTATTTTAACGACGCCCTATTCGTTTTGGATATTTCGATTTAAACGCGATATTTCATTTTGACTAAACGCCAATATTATATTGTATTGGTATTGCAAATAATGTGTTGTATTTTATAGGAGGGACCGCGGCGGTCGAAATATTATTTTGTTTTAATTATTGACCGTTTTTAGAATATGAACATTTTGTTAAAATCCAACAAGACATACACCGGTTGGACGGACGCGGCCATAGCGATCACCGTCAGTAGCAGCATTCAAAGTTCAATTGACGCGTCAAAGGCTCGAGGTGATTATAAATGTTAATAATTCCGCACGGTATGCAGCCGTAATCGTTTCCAAATTGATATCAAAATATTTCGGTCGGACGGCTTATTGGATTCCGGTAGGATTCGGTTTTCTATTGAAACGCCTGCACATTTTAGGATTAATTCTGAATTTTGAATTTCAAACCGGCGCTCGCGTGCTCAACACTTTTTTAATACCGAATATTTTCTCAGTACTAACTTTTTTTTTTTTTTCGTAAATGGCATCCACTTCGTCCCACCATTTTTTTCTATACAGATCCGAGTATAAAATTATATTTTTCGAGCGATAATATTTTTTTTTTTTTAACACTCAATTTACTGAAATTTACAGCGGTATTTGTTCATATGGTTTTTTTTTCGTACGTCGGCACGTCGTTTAAAAATATGTATTGAACTTTATTTTCGTATTATTTTTTTCACCCGAACACGGCAGAATTAAATCCGATTTTCCGTGGGAAAAATATCACGCTGCAGTAAAATAATGATTGGAAAAAAAAAAACGAAACAAATATTATTATTATTATAACTACGGCGTGGCTCGTCTGTGTAATTTTTTATCCGTTTTGAAAACATAATGACATATACCCATGGACAATGCATCGGAACAACATTAAATACAATAAATATTATTTTAGTACGACTTTTATTGATTTGTTATTCTCTCTTACAATCATATAAATATATGATTCGAATGACCCCCTATATTCCCCGGCTACATATATTACGCCAGTTTGTTACATAAAAAAAAAAAAAAAACACGTTATATAATATAATCTGCCTATATTATGGCTTATGTCAAACAATGGAAATTGACAATCAAATACTGTATGCATGCATTATATATTTGATATTTGTTTAGAGTGGCGTATATCGCGTGTTTCCATACGGATTTTTTTATTATTTTTATAAATATGTATTTTGAGATTGAGAATTATACGAGAACGGCGGGTGTATGCGAGGACGATGTGGGTGATGGGGTCAAGTGGAAGTTTAGGACGAGGGTGGCCGACCCTAAATATTTGGAATGAAGGCGAATGAGAAAAAAAAAAGACGGCGAAGAAGATAAATGTGTATTTTTAAACTTTCATTGTCCAATATGAATCATGATATCGAATCGAGATAAAATCTGACAAGTGATAAATGTATTACTGCGAGATATAATCTGTCGCCGACATCAGCCAGTATAAGGCTAATTTTTTGTTTGACATTTGCGGTTTCCTCGGCGTAGGTATTTCATATTCAGTTTATATTATTCGAGGACTGTAGGTGCAAATGGTTTCGTGGGATTTTTTTTTATTGTTATTTAAGAAAATAAACAACTCTTGCTGTAGGTTTTTTGCAATTGAAGAATTCATATATAAAAAAAAAAAACAATTAATTATCTACCGATAAGCTAACGGGATATTGATTTGATATTCAAACCAAATTACCGTATAACATTTTTAAGTTTTCCAAAACAATCGAAATAATGTTTAAACATTTCTCGTAAAAAAAAATTGAAATAATATTATGTGTCGTATACGCGCCTTGTGTTTTTAAAAATATAGGATTGTATGCTAGCTACGATATTATCAGTGTTGTGTTTAATCTATAGATAAATATAATATTATTTTATTTTACCGTGTTTAGATAAATGAGAAATAGTCATTGTTCAAGATAATTATAAACCCAATGTATTTAAAAATCTAACTTAATTAATATATAGATGCCGCCACATTGTATGTATGTATGGTGGGGAGGATATGGATTTATTTTTTCATTTTGTTTTTTTTTTTTTTTTTTTGCTCTTTTGATATTATGTATTAGCTGTATAAAAAAAAAAGTTTTCCTCAAAGTTTCAGATCTTTAAAATAATTTCTCGTAAGCCACGATTATCAAATTTAACAAAAAAGTAGCTAGTTTATATGTTTTTATTTTGTTTACAGTCTTAATACTTATTATTCAAATATAAAAAAATAATTAGCACAAAAAAATGAATACGATTATATTAAAAATAAATTGAATCTTACAGAGCTCGTAAAAAATTGAATTTTCCAAATTTCTGATAAATCACCCTTCAAAAATGCCCGAGAAATTTTTTACCAGAGTCTAGGTAAATGTCTAATTTAATGATCTAAAGACATTAAACGATTTTATCCAAAACAAGGACATTAACAAAAAATGATCGAATGTGACGTTTAAAAAATTGTCCGGTCATTTATGGTATCTAACTACCTAAGTGAGTGGTTGTTAGGACTGCCATTGTTTAAATTCCGTTTGTAATCTCAAAAAAAAAGATAAAATTATTATCACTCTGAGTTAAAACTGTATAAATAATCCTCATCCCCGTATTCAAATATCAAAAAAAAAAAACATTTCAGAAAAATATCTAGGTGTCTCATTTCGTCAGTAAAAATACAGGACACTTTTCTCATCGAATAATATTTTTCGGAGTTCATAAAAAAAAGATTACTGTATATGGGATAACGTTCTACTGTTCATCAATGCCCGGAAGATAGTCGATAACCGGTTGGTTGTTAATGTCTTGGCAGAAAGGGCATGAGGAGTTCTGCACTAGCACAGAATTATTGTAACCATATTTTGACGAAATAGGAAGAACGGAAAAAATACTTGCTTCAAGTTGTAGAGATGCATAGGAAACTCATACCAAGTGTAGGAAAATCGTTTATTAAAAAATGGCTGACGGCTAGACAAAATTTGAAGAATTATTTTCTTTAAAATATTGAGTAAAATATATTTCTTGATCCAATAAAAATGATTCGATGAAAATGTATGCTATAAATGGTATTGTTTTAAATAATTAATTCAGATTCATTGCAATAATATTTTTCTTCAAGTGTTATGGATTTCGTTTGTCTTTTGAAAACAAATAACATGGATATTAATTTAGATCCTTGAAACAAATTCCTAGAGTGGTTTTGAAGGGTATTTCATTAAACATTTCAAAGATTTAATTTTTACGAGCTTATTATTTTTTTTAGAAACAAATATTGTAATAATAAATTATTGTAAAAAATAAAATGTATAAAACAGCTGTTTATAGATAAATTTGGTGCTCGTGACTTCCAGAAATCATTTTAAAAACTAGCGACTTTGAGGAAAACCTATTTTTCTCCGACTAAACATAATATTCCAAGAAGTGAAAAAATAAAAAAAAACAAAATCCTTTTCCACCCTATTGTATAATATGATATTTTGAATTAGTAATATATTATCCTACTAACATTATAAATGTAAAAATTTGCGGCAATGTTTGGTGGGACCAAATAACGCCAAAACCGATTTGGACGAAATTTGGCACACAGACAGAATAATATTATATTCCGGGTTAACGTATAAAATACTTTTTATCCCGGGAATGCGTTTCTGCGTGGTAATTTACTGCAGCGTTGATAGTGTACTTTACAATATGGCCTTTGTATAGCAATAAATAATTTCTTTTCTTTTCCACTTCGGCGTAGAAAAAATTTCATTTATACAGATCATTAAATCGGCCGGTTTTCATTTAATATCGCTACTATTATTTCACTCTCCAAAAGATTAAGTACTTCGTTAATGATAGTAGAAACACATAAATTCATGCCAATTGGTTTTTTTTTTTTTATGTCTATGTCTAGGTATAATTTATGATACCGATGTTAGAAGAGCATTACCTTACCAAACGGGTTTGTGGAAAATTACTGTAAACGGATCGACGATTATGAAAGCCCTGGAATACTCCTCATCTTTATTTGATTACGTAAATTGCGCTATTCCGGAAAACAGTGTATTCGGAGGTTTCTTACAAATGTCGGGTAAGATCCGGTAACCTTTTAAATTAGTAATATTAGTAATATTAATAATATTTACAGAAAATACACACGGTATAAATAACTAATACAGAATAAAAATGATCAACAATTTGTCGCTTGTTTAATTGTTTTTCGTTGTAAATGTGTAGCACTGTATATAAAATACACATACAAATATCAATGAATTTGATTAACTATGATTTATGTTATAAATAATCAGGGAAACGATAACATAGTCGAATTAAATGTTACTGTTTCAAAATGACTCTTTACTATACACTCGTAAACACATAAACCCTTGCACTCTAATATATTAAGAATTGTATAAACTTACTATGCACAAGTCTCGATGCCCGTCTTGATATTTCATAACGTAAATAACGTTATTTTCGTTGAATAATCAATGGAAAAAAACAAGTACCTACACGGGGTGTTTTTCACTAAAAATTCGTAAACAACTTTTTGAAAATAACTTAGTTATTTTCTATCATTTTATTTCTTTTAAATTATTTAAATTAAAAGTTATCAAATAAGTATACCTAACTTAAAATTTAATTTTTGAATTTGTAACTATTTATTGACCTATTTTGACAAGGTATTTTATTAAATAACATGTACATTAAATTAAATCAATTTATAACAATAATTATTTATATAATATTATAAAATAAAAATTGTATGTCTTGGCGTTCCAGTTTTAAACTCGACATCTCAAGAGTCATCTATACCTAGCAGTGGTTTTTAACTGGTGTTTCTTGGACTTAAAATAAGTGTTCCGCTAAAATTTGATGTATGCATTGTTTAATATATTATACAATTTAAAAATGTATATGAATATTGTTTTATTTTACGTCTGTATTCTATGAAATTCGTATAAAATGTTAAGTATTCAGCCATTCGAAAAAGGTTAAGAACCGTATTAGTTTGAATACGTTTTTGTGTTAAAATTGTTGACTTCCGTCTACCCGTTTAGTTTAGCGGAACACTGTTCAAATATCGCCACTTAAATCCATGATTCATAATTCTCTCCTACCCAAACTTAAAAGTAAAATTCATAGTCAACGGGTTGATGAAAATGAAAAATGTCAACACCAAAATGCATTTAAAATAATATATTTTATTTACAGAATTTTGAATATAAGTAGCCATTTGAAAATGGAAAGTAAGTAGTCGTTTTGCCCCCAAAAATAGAGGCGACAATAGGTAATGGAATAATTTCCAAGATATCACAATGTCCATATCCTTCTGATACACTCAGTATGTATGATGATAAAAAATGTTTAAATATTTGTTTCAGGAATGCATGTCGAATATAATGCTAAAGCACATGTAGGATGGCGTGTAAAAACCGTGTATATAAGATGTTCGGAATGCATGGTTCCGTCGTACGAGCCATTAGAACGGGAGAAATCGTATAGAATAATAATGCCTAAATATTTAATCGACGGTGGCGATAAGTTTATAATGTTCAAAGCAGGAACTAACAAAGAAAACCTAAGTAATAATTATCAAAAATAATTGTAGTTGTTTTTATTTGTTTTGACGCGAGCTTATCAACATAATATATTTACGTTAATGAGAATGATCTCAACATTCTTCTCTATATATTTAATATAGTTTGTTTAGGGGACGGATTTATATGCACTTAAAACCAACGAAAAAAGAACACTTAAACACGTCATAAAAGCACTTCAAAAATATTATAAAACGCGAAAATGGTAAAGGAATATTAAGTCATTTCCCCTCTATAAGGATTCTAAAATTATGTACAAAAATGATTAACACAGTTATTTTAGATTCTGAAATGAACAAAGAAGCTTATGATTTTACAAATATGTTTATTATTATTATTATTATTTATTTTTTATTCGAACCCTTTTTTTACCAGAAATCCGACTCTGGTGTATGCGATGTAGAAAATTTTCTTTAAGGAGATTTTCTTGGGATGTACTTTAAGGATGTTATTTTTCGATTTCGTCAGAAGTTTTCTCATCATATGTGAAAAACCAAAAAAAATCTGGAAAATGTACGAAATTCATAAATAAAATATTATGATTTTTTTTTTGTGGACAACTTTTTTAATAGCAAAAGACTTCTGTTGGAATACACTCCGATTTACAATGATAGATCTTTTTCTGAAAGGCAATCTGACAGGGAAGGCACTTAAAAGAAGTAATTTTTTGATTTTCCCAAGAGTTTTCCTAGCAAATTTGAAAAATTGGAAAAAAAACATGGAAAAACCGGAAAAAACGTAGGAAAAACGAGAAACTCGGTAAAATATTAAACAAAATATATTTTTTTAAAGTCATTTTATGTATATAATGCCTATTTAATTATTTTACCATTATATGATATATAAATATTGTTGACAAAGCATCACTATCAATTGAACTCCGCTCAGAATCGCTTTTTCGTTAGAAATGGTTTATTGTTGCTTACAGATATACATTAAATTATCTTGTATATCACACCTTCTTAACTACCCACCTATAACAATGGCTGCACCCACGTGTGAAGTATGTTCGTCTTTTTTTTTTCATACATAGGTGTAGTTTAATTTTAAAAATGTAACTATGTAAGCTATAGTGGTTATTAGGGGGACTTTTAAAGCCTTTTCTACCATTTTAAATTTTTAGAATATTTTTAAGTGCTTTTTTGAGGTTTTTAAGCGATTTTTTTTTTTGGATTTTAAGTGCATACAAATTTGTTCCCGATTATCATGTCTGGAAGTCTTTATACAATGATTATATTTATATTTTTTTGTTTTGACTTTCAGAAATAACCGAAACGGAAGCTCTTCAAGAATATATTAAAAAAGAGAGTCCAATATGGGCCGAACACGAAAACAGAATAACAATTTTGAATTAACACATTTAAACAATTTAATAATAACGATTGGTGGTGCAGCTAAGGCTAATTAGGGTTCCAAATTTTTTCAAAGATAAAACTTTTTTAACTTTTTTTGTTAGTAAAAATACTCCAATTGTTTCACATCGTACCGTGAATTTGTAACCCCTGTGGTATTTTTTTTGAAACACATTTTCTACCAGACTCTTCACATATAATCCAAACAATATTTAAATATGTTAACAACAAATGACGATTGTTGGTTTTTCTTTTGTTGATTTTTGGAATATCTTGGAAAAAAAAAACACGACCGTGTACGACACTATCAACTATTCGAAATTCATAATACCCCGCCGAATCAAATCCTGGTTGTGCCATCAATAACGTTGATCATAATATTGTAATTTTTTTTATTTTATTTTAACTGTATAATATAATAATCATTTTAATTTATATAAAAAAAAAAAAAAAAAAAAAAACCGTTGAAATTTACTCGACGGTACATAGTATATTGTTTAAAAACGTATGATTATAGTATTTGATTTTTGTAAAGTGCGATGACGCATAATAATAGGCGCACAAATAATATATTAGTCTCTGCGGAATCGTTATAATTTATTACGAGTAGGTATAATAATATTGTGTATTGTTGACGTAACAAGACGCAAATATTGTTCTAGTGTAGCAGGTACAGTGTATCCGCACTAACCGCACGAATATATTTATTATGATAATAATATTATTACAATTTCACATGGCTGCATGTCGAAATGTAGGTAATAACCATGAATAAGTTGAATATTATACTGGGTTTTAGTGCAACATATCGTGTACTCACGTGTTCACTGTTTGTGCGTTAAACTTTCACGGTTAAATTAACTAATAAACGTTCTCGTTTGCGGAAAGTTAATAACATTATTACCTACAATGTACTGCAGTCGACAGCCGTACGATAGCAAGTTTACAAGTCACCGTAGTCGTAATAACTAATATTTTAATAAAATTATCTCCATCCGTTAAAACCGTATTCCTATAATTAGTTACGCATATACGGTAAATAGTTTCCAGGGATCCTGGACACTTTACAGAGCCAAAAAAAAAGAAGAAAAGAGCGAATTATATAAATGCCCCTGCGACATAGTTAAGTAATAAGTGCAAAAAAATTATGCATATTATAATATGGTCGTGTCGTGTAACTGAAATTCCGAACTGCGGCTAAATATTAAGTGCGATAAAGGTAACAATTTGCTTTTGTGGGAGGTATAATGTACAAACAGATCTTTCTCTGCTGTCGATGAACTTGATAAAAAAAAAAAAAAAAAGATAATTTTATGATATCTAAAGACCAGTGTTGGAAAAGTTCCTTTTAAAAATGAATTCGTTCTTGTTCATCGTTCCTACTACAAAAAAGGAACTATAGTTATACATATTTTGAAGTGTCGTAAATCGTAATAAATCGTGAAATCATACGTCTTTCCCGCTTGATCGCTTTTATTTTGAATACCACTTCGAAAATAAAAAAAAAAATACCTTTCTAAATTTAGTCTAAATACCAAAAAGATTAAATTTCCTTTCAGAAAAAAGATCTATAATTGATAATTTTGAGCAGGATTTCTAGAAGGAAAAGTGTTCATAAAACAAAAAATAAACATCATTAAAAAACCATTTAGGTACCTTTTTTAGTCTGAAATATTTTTTTTTTATTCTAAGTTTGAAAATATTATTAATTAATTTGCTTTGGAAATATAGGTACTTATGTTTGACGTTAAAGGTTTTCATGAGTTATTTATTAGTCACATCACACTTCAGTGTGAGTTAATCAAGTCAACTCAAATCGGAAACTATTCTTACTTCTTAGAATCTACATGTTTAAAATCTTAATAAATAAAATAAAATAATTTTCTTAGTTCCTATCCTAAAAAAATGAAACAATTTGCACCTATTATCAATTATCATTTGTAAATTTGACGTTTGTCATTATCGAATAAGTTGTATAGTTTGTTAACATTTTAAACCATTATCACCGAGGTACCGTTTATATCTCGGTTATATATATATTACTATATTAGTAACGGATGAACTGATACGAACAACACTAAACAATTTCTAAACAATTAAATTTTGTGGTCAAATTTTGGTTGCTAAACCGAATGAAAACTTCATTGCAGAAACAAATATCCACGCTAACCATAATAACTTTGGACATAAAATGGGCTGTGTTACGATATTGGGGCCTCTTGAAATGTCTTTCGACTACATTTTTATAGGACTTCAGCGTCACTGCTTCTTGGGACGCTCTGTATAGTATATTTTCGTTCATTACCAGTATTATTTAGTATTATCGTATACTTGTTCCAGGGATATTTTATTATACATACCAGTCTGTATAGAAAAAGTCAATCCCTCGAGGGATTTTCTCGAAAAAAAGTTGTTTTTGCGTCTCACGGATGGCTGTGTTTGCACTGCGGTTATTATACGTGGCGCACCAACGTTAAATATTGTTTTTTCATCATCGAGATTGCAAATCGCGTGCTTGTTGGTCCGGGGGTTTGAGATTTGCGTCCCCGAGTCTCTGCGTTTCTATAGACGGTATAATAATGTACACAAAAGGCGTATTTTACAGGTGCTCACAATATGATGGTGCCTGCGTCATCGAGTCATAATCCGCGTATGATGGGTTTATACCCACAGTGATCGGTTGAAAGGGTGAGGGGTATGAAGACAAAACACTAAATATAGTGTTATATAGTTATTGAATTTGTGGAAAATTGCGCGATGATAGATTACAACATTAAGAAGTTATAACGTTTATAAAACACTAGGTGAGATGGAAATTTTCGATTTGTATTTATTTTGTTTTGTCTGAAAACCATTTTTATACCAGAAATCATGTTCCGGTACTAAAGCGTAGCATATTTTCTGAAAGAAAATTGTCATAGAATCCTTGTATTGGCATTTTCTAGACGTGGTAAAATGTTTTCAACTTTTTCAGATGTTTTAAGTTCAAATTTTGTCAAAAATCGTAAAAATCACCGAATTTCTAAACATATTTAATCGAACTTTATTTAACACTTCTTATTTTGTTAACAATGATTTACCATTGCGTACAGATACAAATTAAATGACTTTATGTATTCGATCCTCTGAACTATTCCCATCTACAACAGTGGTATACCCATCAACAGTATAACAGTTCTTTTTACATTTGTATTTCAAAATATAAAATACAATTTAAAATATTTGAATTGTTCTGCAAGATCATAATAGTCATTTAAAAAAAAATCTACATATATTATACTTTAGTAGTAAAGTGAATAGTATATCACATGAATCACGTTAATCATCACATTATAATAATAAGTTAAATACTTTAGCGTTAACGATATTCAGGAATTTTCTGTCGAACAAAGTAGTTTTTTAAACGTAATTTAATTGTCTTTTGAATGCCTGAAATCTTTTGATGTGAGTATACATCAATTTACTATGCATTACATACCTCGAACAAATAAAATAATTTTTAAGTAATAGTATAATAGACACGACAACTATAGCTATTAAATTTTAATAAATGTATCGTAAAAAGTTGAATTTGATAATACTTTAAAAACTAACTAATCATAACTAATATTATTATCTTAATCCTTTCATACTTATGCAGTATACTAATTACATTTGTATGAGAACTTTATCCATACAGTTTTATAATTATGCTTTATTTTTTAATTAAAAAAACCTGATTATACGTGTTAAGTTGTAAACACAGACACAAATAAGGGACTGGGGGCTTAGACCACCGAAATTCAGACAAGCGTGTCAAAAACCTTATCAAGCAAATAATAAGTATACATAATCAATATTATGGGAGCTCTTTCCTCCCATCCCCCCAAACATTTGAGCTATATGTGGTTATAAATAATAATATAATTGTTTTGATTTCGTTACTAAACTACACGTAGTCTATAAAAACACTGTAGTTAGATGTATTAAATATAAGACATATACAGAACACCATCACGTTCTACTCCGACGAGCGGCCGACTGTAAATTTACTGTTTTTTTCGTTATAACCTCGGAAAATATCCGCTGCATATCAATCATTATGGTACGTGTATACCGTCCAACTATTTTTATCGTATATGTTGCGCGAGTATTTCGTGACACACTCGAGAAGAGAGCTTTTTTTTTCACCTCACTTACGGGTTCGCGATCGTTAAAAATACAAAATTCCTATCGTATCAAATGACCTTTATACCATGTAATACCTCTGGTTACCGAGGGCGATAGAATCTTAAATCGTCATATTGTGCAAAAGTACTTGAAAAAGTTTCGTTAAAATCGCCTATACGCACCCCTTAAAAATACTGGGGTGTGTAATATAATACCGACTCTAGACTGACTACGAAGTCGACATATTTTAATGTTCTTGAACGGGTATTTCAATTCGGTAAAATGAGATGAAATAATGTACCTTATTTGCTCGGCTTTAGTTTATTGGACCTTGGAAAAATTCCGATTTTGTCGATGAAACAATTTTCAATAAACGACAGTGTTTTTATCAACAATACCAAAGTATGGTAATGATTAATAATAGTGCACAGTGTTAGGGATTTTCTTTTCGGGATTCGCGAACTATATAATATTATCGTCGTCGGAATGAACAGGAAAAGAAAAAAAAAAAAAAAAACGGACAAAGGTGGATTTCGAGAACCGACGCCGTCCGTTGTCGCTCTCCCTCCCCGTCGAAATATTCACCTGCTAACACGTCGGATATTGTTACAACGTTCGATATTATGTATTATATTATTATTTTCGTTAAGGCATTGTATATATATAGACGGAAGAGAAAAAAAAAATCGCTGTCGATCGCGGTTGATTTCACTTGCGCGCAGCTCAGCGATGCCGTGGGGGGGGGGGGGGGGGGACGGCGGAAAACGATTTATGGCTGGCAATATGATATTATATTATAAACTAATATAACGTGTTCGTTGCGCGAAAAACAATAATCGTATTTCTAGCTGGCGCCACGTGTGTAGAAGTGGCGATATAAAAGCAATCCGCGTACACGCTGCAGGACGGTACGGCCGCTTCGACTGCGGGGCGATCGACAAAACGCGCAAGACCACTCCATTATTATACACCATTATGTACTCCGTTCACTACACCGTTATCTCGGAAAATATTGACTTTCTCTCCGGAATTTGTTTTTTTTTTTTGTTTTTTTTTTAGACAATTTCCGAAACGAACGGCTCTGCAACGTGGTCACGCTCATTTTCGGGAGCGAAACCGTTTTACCTATGCTTTCGATTTTCGAATAGAGTATTAAAAATTACATAAATAGATGGAGTTTAGTTGATCACATTTTGGCGTGACGTTTTTAATTTCGCGCGTCTCGTTGACGAGATGATATTCCACTTTTAACGTGTCCGTTTGTCTGGTTAGTGGACATTGGCTCCCATTACTCTCCTCTTACCCGCAAAATGACAAACTCAAATGCGGAATATCTCAACACCGACATTTATTTTAGCTATAACTCCATCGGTTATTACGCCATTTTTAATGTAGGTTGTTATTTAGAAATCAAAAACGTGTAACGGTTTCAGTCCCGAAAATAAGGAAAAATAAAAATAACGGTAATGTAGAATTTTAGAATTGCTTGTTTCTCGTGTTTAAAAAATAAATTCCGAGATAATGAGGGTGTTACGCGTAGTTTTGATCAGTCTGTATACTGTCTCGGTCTAATACTAACGGACAACGCATAGCAACACAATATTAGATTACGAAGGCAGTAAATTTACGATGTCGCTGTTTCTC